TGCCAAAATGTAAAAATTTGCGCAAAAATCAAGCGCATTGTGGTGTAAGAAGGGCTATCTGAAATTCTCATTCTTAGGAGGTCAAATTGTCTTCTTATAAGAGACTGAGTATCAGTCAAGTCCCGCGAGTTTTTAAAACTTTTTTCTAAATTATCTCGGAATTTCATTTTTGTCATTTCTCACGGTTCACACTTACTGTCTACATTTCTTTCTTTAAAAAAACTTGCCATTACTTGTGTACCGACACTCCTATTTGAACAGGTTATATAAATTTGGTCAGTTTATATAAATATTTATGAGATAATTTAGGATCGTTTCAATACTGAGCATCAAAAGGAGAAGTAATATTAATTTCAACAATTATATTTAATGTATTATGTTATTGAACTGTTTAATTCTAAACAACCTGTAGAAAGGTCTGTATCTCACCTTCTGGGTCAATGACCCTCACCTCGATTAGGGTTTTCGTCCAGTTTTGCTGATCCTTTGAGACAATGCTGAGATGGACTTTTGATTTTCTTCTGGTCGTAAAATGTAAATTCCTTGTCAGTGCACGTCTTTTAGCGTTCAGTGGGAAATATGGTTATTCGAGTTATCTTTCTCCAGGTTATCGCGGAAGGAAGTCTGATTACTTCACGAAGGGCTGCGGGATAAGAGCCCAAATCTACAGCTGATTTGTCCTTGCAAATAGTTTTAATTCACCGAAGCGAATATTTTCTTATCAATTCTAGCCAAAAACGTTCATTTCCTTCTGTATTCAAAATTCACCTTGTATAAGGTCTAGGGTAGGGATTCCAGAATTAAAAAAGTGCACAGAATACACTTCTCGTACCACGTCACACGCAATTTTTAAATAAACAAATAAACACTAAATAATACACTAACAAATAAACAATAAATCAAATAAACTACTCGAGGAATGGCCTGTTGCGAACAATTCGAAACAAGCAAACGTGTTTTTGTGAGATACGTAGACCCACATTAACACTACCACATTAACGCAAAAACATTGTTTGTTTGTTGTTGTTTTTTTAAAAAAAGGGGCAAGTGGAATGGCGCGCCATAAGAAAATGTTTTTTCCTCTTACATGTTTACTTTAACACTCACCAACCGCTTACCTTTTTTAAGGTCATGGCATCACATAACCCTTCGTAACACGCAGACCGTCTGACAATTTGCACTTTTATTTGCACTTATATTGACACCGGCCAGTTATCTCGAGGTATTGACATTACGACTTGCGGCTTTACAGGAAGTGTGTATTTCTGGCATCTACCTGTACTCAGCTGCGGTGACTACGATAGGCGTCGAATAAACCTTTCACAATCGTTCAGACGTTTCCCACAGTGGAATATTTGGCGGTGCGGAGCGTCGTACCGCGCAAGTGTATTCATGTTAAAAGTTACATGCCTTGGAAATTTCAGAAAAGGAGTAAATTTCAGGTGTAAAATAAAACACAAATAATTTTTTATGACTCATTGAAAACAGTGTTTATTTTATTGTTGATATCAGCAAACAAATAAATAACCTAACTTCTTGGGCGATTTAAAAATAATAATACACATATTTGTTTGCAAAAAAGTTAGCTAAAAGTATTGATATGATCTGAAGTTCAAAATAAAAACAATCGTAACTTTAAACAAACTAATATTTGGTGATATATCCTGTTGAAATTTCGACTAACTTCTAGGCATTTATTCTACAAGCTTTGCCGTTGTAGACGACAAGACACTGTCCCATTCTTTCTGGAGTTCGCGCTTATGATATGTTTCTTTGAATTCTTTTCCTACTTTTCTTCAAAATATCCCCTACATGTTCAATGGCATTAATGTTTGAGCACGGTTGCCAGATTGGCGAATTTTTCCAATGTAGCCTCCAGCTTTTTGGGAGGTGTCTATGGATTCATTAGATAACCACTAACTCGAGAATTTCAATAACAATAAAAGTTTCGATTTTGCGTGAACAGTGTAACTATTTGATTGTTGTAATTCGCCTATTTTCATACTGTGCATATCAATCGCATTCTCAAACATAGAGTGTCACGGCTGACGTAATGCAACATCAATAATCTAAGAAAGATAACGTCCACCATTAAGTGTTTGCTATTTACCTGTTGCTTTATGGAACTGCCTCTTTTTTAAATTCTTGGTTTATAAAAACTGTTGAACGATATATAATGTACCACGCTATTCCAGATTTCTCGTTTGTTTCGCGATATATAATTTGTTACAGTGTTCATGCGAAGATTTCATCGTTCTTGAGCAGTGTGTGTGCATGTGTGTGTGTGTGCATGTGTGTGTGTGTGCATGTGTGTGTGTGCATGTGTGTGTGT